GATTCGAGTTTTCATTCTCCTACTACTTGTGTCCATTGTATTGAAGCAAAGACCTCGCAGTCATCTTTCTCCTTAAGTGAAACTGTGTATGAAGATCCGTTTGAACTCGTTCATACCGACTTATGGGGACCATCACCGGTTACGTCGCGACTTGGCTATCGCTATTTCGCTCTATTTATTGATCATACTACCCGTTTCACTTGGATATATTTTCTGCGACAGAAATCTGAACTTCTACAATGTGCAAAGGATTTCATTCTCATGATTCAGACTCAGTTCAACAAAACAGTAAAAGTGATCAGATCAGATCTTGGGGGTGAGTTTGTCTCTAAACCTCTCGCCGACTTCTATGCAGCAAATGGTATATTACCCCAGCAATCATGCCCAGGTGTATCGCAGCAAAACGGGCTGGTTGAAAGAAAGCATCGACATGTTTTGGAACTCACACGGGCAATCTTATTTCATTCTAAGGTGCCAACGGGTTTCTGGGCCGAAGCTGTCAAGACTGTTGTGTACTTAATCAATCGCCAGGTAACTCCGGTGTTGGAAAACCAATCTCCGTATCAGGCTCTCTATGGTAAAACTCCAAACTATTCGTCATTGCGAGTCTTCAGATGCGTGTGCTTTGTGTTGTTGCCTAAGAAAGATCGACACAAATTGGCTCCTAAAACGGCAAGATGTGTGTTTATGGGGTATAGCTCGATGCATAAAGGATATTTATGTTATGATCCTGATCAGCGTCGTATGAGAATCTCCTGTCACGTCGTATTCCTTGAACAGGTCATGCACTATTCTACTGTGAAGGACTTGTCCCAAGAATCTCTTGAGTTTCTCAATCCCTCACTCACGTTCATGGATATTGACGTGCATGGGAATGGTGCTACTCCTCATGGGGGGCCGGAGGGGAGTGAGATAAACACCTCAACTTCGACAGATAGTAATAGCTCGGCAAGCATCTCACCTTCCACCGACAACAACGGTACCTCCTCACCTTCCATCGAGAGCAGCAGTTCGGCCTCAACTGCCTCGACTTCTCCTGCCGCGAACAGTAGCAATGTAGCATCCGCGGGCAGCAGCTCAACCTCCTCTGAAGGTAATTCATCAAGGTTCAGTGACCAAGGTTCAAGTCCACCTCCCCTGCCTTGTCGGTCTACGCGTGCTATGAAAGGAGCACCACCTATTAGACTTCTAGATTATGATGTGGGCTATGCTGCCGAATCTATACCCATACCATCCCATTATCGAGAAGCAAAAGGCAATGAGAAGTGGGAAGCAGCCATGACGGATGAAACTAATGCATTGGAGGCGAACAATACGTGGGAGCTAGTTCCGAGGTTACCAGAAATGTCTGTTATTGGTTCGAAATGGGTGTATAATGTAAAGATGCATCCAGATGGAACCTTGGAGCGGTTCAAAGCAAGGGTCGTGGCACAAGGATTTCGACAAGAGTTTGGGATAGACTATGACGAGACTTTCGCCCCGGTGGCAAAGATGCAAACTGTGAGAAGCCTCTTCGCAGTTGCTGCAATGAAAAATTGGCCACTATTGCAGTTGGATGTGAAAAACGCCTTCCTACATGGAGACCTCAAGGAAACGATATATATGGAGAGACCTCCGGGGTATGAAAAAGGTGGTCCAAATATGGTGTGTAAGCTGCTGCGTTCACTATACGGATTGAAGCAGGCTCCTCGAGCATGGTTCGAAAAATTTCATGGAACAATCCTACAAGCTGGATTTCGGCAAAGTGACAATGATCCCTCACTCTTTGTTCGTCACACTATTCATGGAGTGATAGCATTGTTGCTTTATGTAGATGATATGATAATTACAGGCGATGATCAGGAGGGGATTAAGGAACTCAAGGACTCCTTACACCAGGCGTTCAACCTTAAGGAGCTTGGTGATGTATCATACTTTCTTGGGCTCGAGGTACACAAGTCGAAGAATGGAGTATATGTATGCCAAAAAAAATATATCACAGACCTACTGGAATCAACTCAGTTCAGTGACTGCAAGCCATGCTCTACCCCGATGGAGCAGAATCTAAAACTCACCAGGGAAAGTGGCGATCTTCTAGACGATCAAGCATTCTATCGAAGTGTGGTAGGAAGTCTTATATATCTCACTCATACACGACCAGATATCTCATATGCAGTACAGGTAGTAAGCCAATTTGTAGGGACGGCCAGAACTACTCATCTCGACGCAGTTAATCGTCTCCTGCGGTATCTGCAGCATACTAGAGATGTTGGTTTATTTTTTCCTGCAGGGGGAGACCCAACTATTGAAGCCTTTGCAGATGCAGATAATACAGGTTGTGTTGATACAAGAAGATCTACATCTGGCTGGTGCATACGATTTGGAAAGTCTTTTGTGTCATGGAGATGTAGGAAGCAGGATAAGGTGTCTAAATCCTCAACTGAAGCTGAATACAGATCCATGTCTGAAGTTTGTTCTGAAATGGTTTGGTTGGAACGTCTCTTTCAAGACTTAGGTGTCAAGTGCAGTATACCCATGGTGATAAATGGAGATAATACCAGCGCAATGCAAATAGCTCTCAACCCTGTCCTTCATGATAGGACAAAGCACATTGAAGTGCACGTGCATTATATACATCAACTTGTGGCAGAAGGAGTGGTTCGACTGCAGTACTTGCATACAGAAGATCAGACTGCAGATATCCTCACAAAGGCAGTGGCATCTAATCGACATTGGTATCTATCTTGCAAATTGATGTTGAGAACTCGACATCAATTTGAGGGAGGGTGTTAAATATATGGATCATAATGTAATTAGCCACATGTGAGCTAGGGCAGCCGAACTCTATCCTATATATAGATGGTGGCCGAACTGTACAAGGTACTCAAGAAACATCATAATCATAAAACCTGAGAGGGAGATCCTCTCCGTGGACTAGTGTCACATTGACGATACCACGTTAAAAAAGGTCTTTGTGTTCCTTACGTTTACGCTTGAGATTAGGATTTTAGCAATAATAGTCATTTTGACTTTTGGCAAGATCGGGGTATCACATTGAAGGTCTCTGACTTCATCCTCTCAGCCTTGTACGACGGCAGCACCGACGGAATCCTCCACACCGCTTGCGGGACGCCGCCTTTCACTGCCCCCGAGAACCTCTACAGGCGGGGCTACGACGGTGCCAGAGCCGATGCCTGGTCCTGCGGAGCCATTTTGTTCTTCTTCCTCTCCGCCTCTCTGCCCTTCGACGACAGCAATTTGGCTGTAATGTACAAGAAGATCCACCGGAAGCAGTACCAAATCCCGGCGTGGGTTTCCAAGCCGGGCAGATTCATTGTCCACCAACTGCTCGACCCAAATCCCTAGACAAGAATGAGCATAGAAACCCTTAGGAACCACCTGTGGTTCCTCAACAAGTACCAGAAGCCTTCTCGGAGGAGCCTGTTCGAGACAGAGTACTCAAAATCCTGCAAATTCGAATCCCAGCTCTCGAGCTTCAACGCCTACGATATCATTTCCATGTCCTCTGAGTTGGACCCATCGGGGCTGTTCGAGGCCACCTGCAGGAAGGAGAAGCGATTCACTTCGACGGAGAGGCTGGACAGAGTAATCGAAAGGGTTAAGGAGGTCGGGAAAAAACTTGATTACAGAGTGGAGGAAGGGAAAGGAGGAGCAATTGGGCTGGCGAAAGGCAAACTGGTTCTGCTCTTTGAAGCCATGTAAATTGCAGACGAGATGGTAATGACTGAAGTTAGAGTTTTTAAAGGGCGTGGTGTGGAGTTTGAGGAAGTTCATTTGGTGGAGTTGAAGAATGGACTTGGTGATATCGTACTCGACTAGCATGGTGATCTTGTCGCCGCCGCTGCTATTTGAGGTGACTAGCCGGCGAACGACACTGGTTTGCTCTGATGGAAGGGCATGAGGGATGGACTTGAAAGGAAGGGGGAGACTGGGCATAACTTTAATCTTATTTTTGTTCTATAAATGACCAAAAGGAGAATTCTTTTTTGTTTTGTCACTTTTCGTAATCTACTAGTAAGTGGTGAATTAGATTTATGTTTGTGAATTTTTCCTTCTATTTGTTGTACATTATGGGGATTTTTCCAATAATAGCACCTTTTAAAAAAATTTACAAAAATAGCACCCAACCCATAAAAATTACAAAAATAGCGCCCTTTTTTTGAAACTGCACCTTGGAGATGCAGTCATTACCACGTCAGCCAGGGAATCGCACGCAGATGGTGCGGTTTGTGTTTCCTCCGCAGCGGCCTTCAAGACCGTTGGATGAGGCGGCGATCCAACGACGGACCGCACGCCAAGTCAGCCATCCGTGTAGAAGATCGAAGACCGCACCTTTCGCCTGCGGTTCTGCGCCTCGTGAAATGGAAACCGCACCCCCAGATGTGGTTTCAATGAAGGCAAAATTACCTAACCGCCCCTGGAGGGTGCGGTCTGAATGTATAAATACCCCCTCCTCATTTTTTCACACCACAACCCATTCTTCACTCTCTCTCTCTCTAAAATTATCTCTCTATCCCCTCCCCTCCCAAAAGTCTAGGAAATAGTGGTCTGTTGGTTGCGACTAAGTCCGATCTGCCATCAGAAAACATTTCTTTGGTTTTTCCTTCAAAACCCAACGTGCGGTTTTGCTAGGTCAGCCCAAGAACTGCACCTATGCCATGCAGTTCTGTTAGGTCAGACACGAAACCGCATGGCCAAGATACAATATTGGCCCATAACCTTAAACCGCACCTTGTGCATGCGATTCACATTCAAACCGCACCTTAGAGGTGCGGTTTTAAAAAAAGGTGCTATTTTTGTAATTTTTTTAAAAAATGTGCTATTTCTGAAAAATCCCTAAATTAGGTTTGATCAATGAAAGAAAGATTCCGTTTTTTTACTATTCTTTGTTGCAGATTCTTACATAATTTACATATACTATTACTTCATTGTCCATCTTCAGAGTCAACATCTACATCTACAATATTATAGAGAGCAATCAACGAAGCCTGCAAACCACTCTAGTAATCCTTCTTCAGCCCAGCTTCAAGCCTCGCAACAGCCCGCTTCGAGAGACCACATTTCACCAACACAAGGCCTAACGATTTGAATGTGCAATCATCCGGCATAACTCCTACGTCGTCATCCAACATCTCCTTGAACGTCGCCACAGCATCGTTGAACCTTTCGTTCCGTCCAACTAGTACAAACCATTCACGCTGTTGTAGCTAAACAGGTTTTCCTGGCAAGCCGGATTTCCTCATTGAGTCTATGTATCCGATGGCTTCTTCTGTGCTTCCAGCTTCTGCAGAAGCATTTATCAAAATCCCATATACGATGACGACTGGCTTCACGTTGAACTCGATCATTTCATTGTACAACTTCTTGGCAATGTCTAGCCTTCCTGATTTGGCAAAGCTAGAAATCACAGCGCAGCATGTAAAGCAATCGCTAACCAATCCTTCTTCTTGCATCTTATTGAGATACTGTTGTGCCTTTTCAGCTAAGTGTGCTCCTGCCAAAATCTGGATTAGAGAGCCATAACTACACCTGTCTGGAATCAAACCGTGGCTTTCGATGCTATCAAACAACCCAAAAGCCTTGATAAAGTTATTGACGTAGCCGTATGGTTTAATTAGAATGTTGAATTCTAGTATACTCAACCTTTTTTTCTCTTTTGAGCAAAGAAAAACCTCCATATGCATCAATATTGTCATAATAGCATTCAGAGGTCATATTTCCAGTTCGGTGGAACCTCATGAACCACAACCATGACTTCTCAACCATTCTCGCGTCTATGTACATTCGAGTCAAAGCTGACTGTGTATACTCGTCGATCTCCAAGCCCTTTTCATCCATTTCTTATACTAGATCCCCGGCTTCGCAAACCATGTGCCTTATGGAGAATGCGTACAAGAGAGTGTGATAACTCGCTAGGTGTGGCTCTAGTTGTTCCTCTTTCACCTTCCTGAAGTATTGAGCTGCCATATCTATATCATCATGCTTAGTTAGCATGGAGAGAGATCAGGATGCTGTACGTTCTAGTACTGCTGAACACCGAAGCTCGTGCATTTTTTGGATGAGGGATTTGACTTCATCGAGATGACCATTGTTACCACACATGTGAATCATGGTTTTGAAAGTCACGGTTGTAGGCACAATCAATCCCCTTGCTCAGCATCTCCGAGAAGATGTCGGATGCTTCTTTGAGTTGACCTGATTTTGCATACGTGTCTATCAAGGTATTGTACGTGTATAAGGATAAGCAATGGTTGTCATGTGAAGAATCATGTTAGAAACCGATTTCGGTAGGGTTTCTATATTTATTATTATTGCTAATAGGGTAATTCTTATTATGGTTAGTAGTCTTTTAGTAGAATTAGGTTTATTGTTAGGGTTTCTACTATTTCCTATATATATATGTACTTTGGGCTTCCATTCAGAATCAATAAGAAGCATATTAAGAAAATCCCTAAACCCCATTCTCTCCCGAATCCTCTCAATTTCTCTTCTTTCCCTAATCCGGCCGCCGGCCATTCTTTCTTGTCGATCCCCAATTTCCTCTTCTAAATCCCTAATACCCAATTCTGATCTTCCCCAATTCTATCTCAATCCCTAAATATCTATCAATTCCCAATCTTATCACTCGATCGTTAGAACCCTAGAAATAGGTTTCTAACATTTGGTATCAGAGCCTGGTTTCGAGAATTGATTTTTTCACAACTCTCAACAGGGGACGAGTTCTACAATTGGTTCGACGATGAGCTCTTCAAGGCTCTCGGACCTGTCATGGGCGGAACTGCGGGAACAGGCCCGCCGCATCGGACGTCGTTGGATCCCTGAGGAGCTACCGATCGCACAGGAGGAAGTGATGCCCAAGGAGACTGACAGAGAACTACCTCCGTAGCTCTCGAACCTGTCGTGGGCAGAGCTGCGTGAACGGGCTCAGTGCATCGGTCGTTGTGGGAGCTTCGAGGAGCTGCCGACCGGGAATGGCGCCACAGCAGAAGAGCAACTGTCGGTTGTGCAGGTTGACTCAGATGGTGAAGTTGAGAGGCGAGCAGAGCAACCGGACGTGGAAGAGGTTTTGGCAATCGAGCCGCCAGCCACGGAAGAGCTTCCAAACGTCACCAACACACAGCAGCAGCTTCCAACAGCATCGGTCACCACGACTGCAACTTCACTCCCAACACTATTTGCCACGGTTGAACAATCATCCAAGGATGCCGATGGTACTTTCGCGGACGTGAGAGAAGAAGAAGGTGATCCTGCTTCTTCCATCCTTGTTCCCGACAGTGAGAAGACCAACGCCTTGGAAGAAGAAACTCAAACCGAGGGTTTGGAGAGGAGACCAACGCCGCGTCATATAGCGAGCTGGCGGTTTCGGAAGCAGCCGAAGACGAACGAAGAGGAGTCCGGGGCCGCCGCATAAGCCATCCCTACTGCATCGACCGGCATTGGGGGCTGATGAGCCTCGTAACGATGGGCCTCGGCATTCCACACGAATCCGCCAACCCAACTCACGATACGAACGTGAGTAGTCAAGGAGGAGTCCATGTTTCCAAAGCTTGCCAGTAGATAGGTTCAGTTTGTTATTTTGAATTAAAAGAATAGTTGCAGGTGTTGAACGAGTCTTAGGAAAGCTGTTAGCAAAATAATCACCTTCCACCTTAAGTGGGACGTGTTAGATGGTTTGTAGAGAGTCTGTTATTGAGTTGAGATGTGATCGGCTATATAGGCCGGTACAGTAATGGAATAAGGCAAGCAATTTCTCAGTATCAACTCTGGTTTTCTCACCAAGAAAAGAGAACTCTGGCTCAATCCCGCCAAGAAAAGGGATCCATTCACTCTTTCAATTTCGATCCGTATCAGGGGCTCACCCATGTCGCAGCCAGTCACAAACCAGGAGATTCGTTCGTCACCGGTAGCTGGCATGGAGAGGAAGGCGGAGAGCCGGGGGGAGGACTCACCGGGGCCGCCGATCGCTCAGGGAGCGCGCGAAGTGGTCACGACGTCGGGTGGGCCATCGAACGGCGAGGAGATGAAGATTCCGCCGGAGCCGCGCTTTGAGGAGCAAGAGTCGCGCGGAGCGCCGCTGCCGCGATTGATGCTGGCTCCAGCCTGGGAGTCACCGATGGGAACTCAGGGGATGACGCGATCTTCCGCAGTGTCTTTCGAGATGACGATGATGCCGGAGATCCGCGCGACACCGTTCGTGATGCGGATGACGGAGGTCGAGCTGGTGGCTGCGACTCCAGGGATGGCGGCGACTATGGAGAGAAAGAGGAGACGCGGTGGAGCAATGACGTCGAGCGCGGGGCAGGTGGAGGTCTGGCTGCCGGGAACGAAAGACAAACCAAAGGCGATCTGGGAACCTCGACGCCTACTGGGGTGTTCGTTGCCAGAGAAGGAGGTGCAGAAGGGGTCGTCGAAGATGGAATCGCCGACAAGTGAGAAGGAGCAGGAGGGCGGCGGGGACCTCTTGTTCGCAAACCCTAGGTCGCCTTGGGTTGAACGAGCCGATCCGCAAAGGGAGCTCGGGGTGGGCCGAAATTATCAAGTCGCATGGGCCAGCGGATTGGGCCTCGTAAGTTGGAGGATGAAGCAATACATTATGAAAAAAAATGGGATGAGTCTTGAGGTGACATGGGCCAAGCAGAAGCCTTTGACTGGGCTAGAGTTTTGGAGGAGACAAGCCAGGCCAATTTCTGGCTACGGGCCTTGCATGAGTTTTTCCTCCAGAATGATGAGCTTGGAGGATGATGGGTTTATGGGATTGATGGGTGGGCTTTCTGGAAAGCAGGACCCCAAATTAATTGGGGGAGCAACAAGCTGGAATTATGGGCTTACTCCAATGAAGATGTTTGAGGGCATTGATGAGTTGGTACGCAAGGATAAGTTTTTGAACAAGAAAGGATCATTGAGTTCCTCGAGTTGCTGGATTGTGATGCCAACAAAAGCGGAGCTGTTGAAATTTAAAATTGTCAAGGAAGCTAATAGTGGGCCCATAGAAGTGAAAATCGAAGAATTAAATCAGCACAAGAAGGTCGGTGGAAGAAGCCCAATATTGGCGTTGGAGCTCGATTGGAAGAAACGGAAGCGCAAGAAATGGAGGAATCGGAGTGCGGATTACGCGGGAAGGAAGGAAGAGTGGGTCAAGTTGGTCAACCTTGAGGGCAAGGTTGGTTTGAAGGGGGAGGAGATGTTAGAAACCGATTTCGATAGGGTTTCTATATTTATTATTATTACTAATAGGGTAATTCTTATTATGATTAGTAGTCTTTTAGTAGAATAAGGTTTATTGTTAGGGTTTTCCACTATTTCCTATATATATGTACTTTGGGCTTCCATTCAGAATCAATAAGAAGCATATTAAGAAAATCGCTAAACCCCGTTCTCTCCCAAATCCTCTCAATTTCTCTTCTTACCCTAATTCGGCCGCCGGCCATTCTTTCTTGTCGATCCCCAATTTCCTCTTCTAAATCCCTAATTCCCAATTCTGTTCTTTCACAATTCTATCTCAATCCCCAATTCTATCTCAATCAATTCCCAATCGTATCACTCGATCGTTAGAACCCTAGAAATAGGTTTCTAACAAATCACTATTCCCACGTTCACTCATTTCCCACTGCTTGAAAAAGTCTTAAACTTTCTGAAACTCACCGGACTTCTTGTACATTTGCAGCACTATCCCCATGGTCACTTCATCAGGTGACATTCCTTGCTGGTTCATCTTCTCCAACCAAGAAAGCGCCTTCTCTTTGAGGCCAACTTTACTATAGAAATCAATTAGAGTGCCGTAAGTAGAATTAATGGGTGTAATTCTTTTGACGGCCATTTCATGGCAGAGAGATTCAAGGAGGCTCCACTTTTTGTCACTGCCGAGAATTCTTAGCATCATATTGTAATGGATGACATTCAGCTCGTAACATCTCTTGCTCTTGAACCACTCGAAAATCTCGAAGGCTCTCTCCCAATTCGATTGCTCTTTCAAGATTATGCTCCACTCTTTGTTGCGGAGCGTATCCTCCCAAGGACGTAACGCCTCGTCCAAGTCATTTACGCTTTCCAAAGCCTGAAGAATGAAGGGGATGCAACCACCGTAAGTGGTCCATTTCGTCGAACACTTGGTGTGCGCTTTTCTCAATGGAACATCACTTTTTAACCCGTTCAATTTTGCACCAAGATTCTTCCTTTTTCCAATAACAGACCCGTTCAGCGCAACTCCCCTCTGTCTTCTATATGGGTTTTTTGATTCAGAGCCCAGAACAACGCCTGATTTCTGGTTCTCCCTATTTCTCCGAACTCCGTTGACCCTTTCTGTTTCCAAAGTTTCCCCAATTCTCTGTTCTACGAGTTCCAAAGCCTGTTCGACTTCCTCAAAGTTAGAGGCCGCAACTCCGCCCTTCGTGGGGACGGAGACGCCGACATTTGGGGATGTGGTCTTAGCGCAAGTGGTAACTACAGGAAAACAGATGGAATCCAACTGGAGCTTAACAAACATCATACCTTCTCTAACTTGTTAGAAATTCTCCGTCCGACGAACGACGAAGTGGCGTTTGGAGCCTTTGAGGAAGATTCTTCTGATGGTGGGAAATAGGGACAGAGCCAGGATTTGAAGTTAGGGGGGACGAAAATTTTTCTTTCCCGTTGACATAATTAAGAAAATTTGCGTGTAAATTCTTGAAAAACTCTAATTTACATAACTAATTTACGAAATTTTGATTAAGGATTTCTTTCAATGAATATTTAAATAAAAAATAATATATACATTTTTAATCACTAGAATGCAAGGCACTAATATATTAATGGATTAGAGTATTCCATTTCTTGTTATGAAAATGTAGTTAATTTAACCAACAAAAAGAATTGAATTTTTCAAAAAAAAAAAGGTACATTAACCACTTAGCTTATACTAATTACTACAAGGTACAAACCATAATAATATGCAATTTACGGCACTTATAAGTGAGGACTAGATATGAATAAATGAGGACTAGATATGAATAAAGGCATTCAAAAAACGTAGGCAGGAGTGAGGGTCGAACCTCTAACCTCCCACACGCTAATAAACTTTTGTTAGAATTCTTAATCACTAAGACTGTAATCAACCATTTATCTACATGCAACCTACAATGTTTTTCAACTTTAGGAGGGGCCAGCCCCCCCCCCCCCCCCCCTAATTACCAAGCTAGCTCCGTCCCTGGTGGGAAAGAGGGGGTTCGAGTTCCACCGCGGAGAAGGGGAGAAGAATTTTTTTTTGATAATCAGGCCCTGCAATAGTATTAATAAAACTTAGGAACGGGCTCTGTCAGCCTCCAACAAATCCCAGATTGGGCTGGGAGGATAGTCAACCCAAACAAATGGGTGATTCCATCTAGGAGCTAAATGGGCCAAACAATGGGCCACTGAGTTTCTAACTCTACTGACAAAATTCCATTCGACTTTCTTTCCGGAGATCGATCCATTGATATCAGCCATGCCCTTAATTTCGTTGATCCAGATTTCAAGCTCGGTGCGGTCGCTCCTCCCTTCCTTCAGATGATTAATCAGATTCAGGCAGTCACTCTCAACGATGAGAGGGCTCCATCCTCTTCGATTAGCCTCACGAAGACATAGGGCAAGGGCTCTAGCCTCAGCTTCAATCGGTCTGCACTGGCCTTTTTCCTTCCAAGCAAAACCTCCCAGAAAATTCCCATTCCAGTCGCGAACAACACCACCCAAACCAATTCCTTCAGGCTTCAGAGACCCAGCATCGCAGTTGAGCTTGAAGGTACCGGACGGTGGCTTTTCCCAGCACTGATCCACACTCTGGTTTGCGGCGGTAGCCTGGATATCCTGAGCTTCGAGGTAATCAGAGAGCCATGCAATAGCTTTTGGGACAATTTCTTCTTCTTCGAGTTTATTGTTGTTGAACATGTGGTTGCACCTTTCTTTCCAGATAAACCAGAGGATTGCACAAAACCTCTGCAGATCGGAGACTTCGGTGGATTCAAAGATCCGAAAGAACCAGTTACGTCCAGAAAGCCCCTCCCCGCGTTGGAAAGGTTCGCAATCCAGCGATGGCTGCCACAAACGACGGGTCCAGGCGCAGTCCCGCAAGCAATGCAGCTGGGTCTCTGGGAGGCCACAGAAGGGGCAGTCAGAGGAGGCGTCCTCCAATCTTTTGGCAATGTTCTCTCCAACCGGTAAGATATCCTTGCTGATCTTCCAGAGAAAAACCTTGATTTTGGGCTGAATAGGTAGGTTCCAGATCCTCTTCCAGTAAGCACGAACTTTCTGGGCTTCATATTCATCAGTTTGCGGCCTTGGATTTTGCTTATACAGGATGTCTCTGTATGCAGATTTGACTGTGTAAACACCGTTATCAGTCTTGGTCCAAACTCTAGTATCTTCATTGTGTGGGGGTCTTAGGGGAATCTGATTGATCAAGAGCTTATCTCGATCAGTTAGCAGGTGTTCGATTTCCGTCAGATCCCAGCCGGTACCGTCCTGATTAATCAGATGACTGACTTTCATGTTAGGGTCCCAGCTGTCTTCCAGCGAGGTGGGGGTGAGAGTTTTAGTGTCAGGGATCCACCAGTCGTTCCAAACGTTCACACTTTCACCATTCCCCACTCTCCATCTGAAGCCATCAATGATCTCATCTTTAGCTCTAACCAAACTACGCCACACGTAGCTAGGATTGCTCCCCAGCTTAGCATTAAGGATTTCCCCCTTGGGGAAGTATCTCGCTTTGAGAATTCTTGAAAGAAGAGCATCTGGTCTTGTTAGGATATTCCAAATCTGTTTCCCCAACATTGCAGTGTTGACAATTTCCAGATTCTTGAAGCCTAGTCCACCTTCTTCCTTAGGCAAGCAGAGGTCATCCCATTTTAGCCAATGTATCCTTCGTTCCTCGTGCTTCTGGCCCCACCAAAACCGGGCTATCATTCCCTGAATTTCATGCAGAATGCCATCAGGTATTCGAAAAACCATCATGGGGTAGATGAGTTGAGCTTGGGCAACAGATTTGATGAGGATTTCTTTCCCAGCAGCAGAGAGGGTGAGGCTTTTCCAATCTTTGAGTTTTTTTCGGACCCGCTCCTTAAGCTCGTTGAAGACTTCTCTTTTGGATCTCCCAATCATGGTTGGGAGTCCTAAGTATTTGTGGTGCTTCTCTGCTATTTTGATTCCCAAAGTTCCACTTATCTCTAGTTTCCTGCTCCATTTGACGTTCCGGCTGAAGGAGATTTCTGACTTAGCCAAGTTAATGCTTTGACCAGATTCCTTCTCATAGATCCGTAGGAGTTTCTTAATCTCATCACATTCCTCAATAGATGCTCTTCCGAAAACCAGACTGTCATCAGCGAACAGTAGGTGGGAGATGGTAGGGGCTCTGTGGCAAATTTTGATACCGTGGATCTTCTTGTCATTCTCTGCTTTTTTCAGTAAGGCCGAGAGACCTTCTGCACAGATTAGGAATAGAAATGGCGATAGAGGGTCGCCCTGTCTTATGCCTCTTGTGGGTGAGAACGCCTTTGTTTTGTGTCCATTAACCATGATGGAGTATGTCACACTTCTAACGCACATCATGACCAGCCTGATCCATCTTTCATTAAACCCCATCTTCTGCATGATAGCCTCCAGAAAGTCCCAATCGACTCTGTCAAAAGCTTTAGCCATGTCAAGCTTCGCTGCAAAGAACCCTCTCTTACCCTTGGTCTTCCTCTTTAGGTATTGAAAGCACTCAAAGGCTGTAATTATGTTATCCGTAATGTAGCGACCCTTTATGAATGCGCTCTGCTCCTGAGAAATGATGGTGTTCATAATCTTCTTAAGTCTGTTGGTGAGAACCTTAGAGATCAGCTTGTATATTACTCTGCAGAGGCTGATTGGGCGGAAATCCTTCGCCATGGTTGGCTTCTTAACCTTGGGAATCAGCACTATGAGGGTGTGGTTGATATCTTGGGGGATCGAGCCTTCATTGAGATATTCCAGGACAGCGTTCGTGACGTGTTTGCCAATAGAATCCCAGTTTCTCTGATAGAAACCCGCTGGAAAGCCGTCTGATCCTGGAGCTTTAAAGGGATCCATTTGCTTGAGGGCCAAGAATACTTCTTCTTCTTTAAATGGGGAGGATAGCTCATCATTCATGCTGTCTGTGACTCTCTTTTCCACTGCATCAACTACAAAATCAGAGGGGGGTTTAGGCATTTTAGTGAATAGTGTTATATAGTGATTGAGTAAGTGATTTGACACCTCCTTTTGACCTTTGAAGCTTCTTCCCTGGTCATCTTCCAGCTCCTTGATTGTGTTTCTTTTTCGCCTTAGAGTGGCTTTGGAATGAAAGAACTTAGAGTTTTTGTCTCCCCCTTTGAGCCAGCCAGCTCTAGATCTCTGCTTCCATTTCTGCTCGATTTTGTGGATGAGGTCTGTCCTTTCTGTTTCAAGTTTCCTTCTGTTTTCCATCCATTGAATGGTCTTCGGAAAGTATCTCATCTTTTGGAGTTCTCTGTCAATCTTATCCACTCTTTTCTGAAGGTTCCCGAATTTCTCCTTGCTCCACCTCTGTAGGTCCTTTTTGCAGTTATTGAGAATATCCAGAATGTTGCTGTCATTGGGGGTATTGCAGGCTCTAGCCACCACATCTTTACATTCAGCATCCTGGAGCCAAAAAGATTCAACTCTGAATTGCCATCCCCATCTTATATCCTCCTCACTTTTGTCCTTCGTGTTCATTTGAATAGGGCGGTGGTCAGAACCACATCTCTCGAGGTGAGTGACTTTGTGGTTTGGATGTAGAATCTGCCAGTCCCAGTTAGCTAGACTTCTGTCAAGTCTTTCCTCGATGAATCGGGAACCCCCTTGGCCATTGTCCCAGGTGAATGGGTATCCTTCAAAACCACAATCCATGAGGCCACAGTATTCAAGAGAGCCACAGAAATCCATGATCAGGTTCTCATCTACAAGTCTGCCACCTTCCTTTTCCTCCCCAGATGTAACTTGATTGAAATCTCCCATGCAAAGCCATGGGAGATCGCAATCATGCTTGAGTTTCCGGAGCAGTTCCCATGAGGTATGCCTTTCTTCCCTTTTGGGGTTGCCATAGAAGCCCGTGAAGCGCCATTTGGGCCCTTCGTTTGCACAGTCCACCACCACATCATAGTGTTGTTCGGAGCTGGATAGATATGAGAGTTCAATTCCACTGCGCCAAAAGAGACTTAGACCTCCAGCCTTGATCCCGTTGTCTTCCCTGGCAGGGACTCCTCTACTAAATCTGTAACCGAGAGTCCGTTGTACACGCCTTCTGTCTTTATTGGAGAGTCTGGTTTCCATTAAGAAAAGAATGTCAGGTTTTTGCTTTACCACGAGCCTCTTAAGTTCGTCAACTGCCGAGGTTTGGCCCAGACCTCGACAGTTGAAACTGATCAGCTTCATTGGGCTCGGCGGCCTTGCTCCCCGGCAAGGTCCGCCACTTCGCCATCCAAGTTTTGGTTTTGTTCCTGCTTCGACTTCTTGCTTCCG